TGTATTTGGACATAGCGCACATACGTGATGATGCGTGACTTCCCATTGTGTGGTGGTGCCTCACGTGGAGTTAGACTGCCCACGACCTCATCCAGGAACACAGGAAAGTTATGTCCCCTTCTTTCTCCTGTCTTTCCTGTTCCCACCCCCATCCAACCCAGGGACCCTCCACTCCTCCCTCCCAGTCCTACTGTGAGTCACCTCCATGCACCAGAGAGGACATCTGGCCTTTGGTTTGGGGATTGGTGTATTTCACTTAGTGAGATAGTCTCCAGTTGCTCTCCACCAAATGCCGTAATCTATTCTTTCCTGAGGCTGAGTCTCCACTGTGCATGTGCCCCACGTTTCTTTACCACCCACCTGTTGCAGGCACCTGGCTGGTTCCGGACTCAGCTGTTGTGAATTGAGCTGCTATAAACCCTGATGTGGCTGCGTCACTGCAGTGTGCCCATTTCGGTCCTTTGGGTATAGACCTGGGAGTGGACCCTGGGTCACATGGTGGCCCCCTTCCTGGCTTTCTGAGGCGTCTCCATTCTGCTCTGCAGAGGGGTGCACACAGCAGTCCCTCCAGCAGTGGGGGCCTTCCCCACCCTCCCCAGCACCCACTATTGCCTCTGCTCTGGATGACGGCCCTTCTGTCTGGAGGAGGTGGGACCTCAGGGTGGTTTTCGTTGCGTTCAGAGTCTTACTTTAAAAGCACCGTTTCTGCGTCTCCTCAGGGACAGTCTCTCTCCTGTATTTTACTTCTCTGAGAGGTCCTGCTCCTGAGCTGCCTCATTACTTTTGTTGAGAGCTCTGCAGCTGGCTGTGCCCTGTGCTGGGCGCCTGGGCCACCTTGGCGGTGTGCTGGGCCATCTCCTCCACGTCCTGCTTGATCAGAGCTTGAAGGTCCGCCCAGGGGCCTGCGAGAGCTGCCCAGGTCTCCCTGAGCATGTGCCCCTCTGTGGGTGCTGGGCCCTCCTAGGTGCCCAGGAACACTGGGGGGTCTTTCAACCCTTCACCCCTGGAGGCCCATCCAGCTTTGCTCAAGGCTGCTCAGGGCGCCGACTGTTTTCACAGACGACCTCCTTGCCCCAGAGGCCAGCTGATGTCCATCCGCCTTTGCAGGTTCTGAACAACACCCCACATTGCTGCTTGTCCCCGGGGAGTCCTGAGTCTGCAGATATCCAGGCTGCCCCTGAGCCAGTCCTCCAGGGGCCAGACAGGTCAAAGGGACGGCCACCCCTCCCCAGAACCAGTCCCCACCCTGCCCCTCCCGCAGCAGTGTCCAGCAGTGCAGAGAGTGTGGGCAGCACAGCTTTATTGATGTTCAGAGAGTGGCACTTCTGGGGACAAGAGCAGGGTCAGGAGGACCCAGTCCCAACTGGGCAGGGTGGTGGCCAGGAACAGGAAGTGGGTGCAGCGGCCAGCTCTCCCCTGGGCGGGGCCGGAGAGCAGCCAGGGAGGGCTCAGGCCTCAGACTTGGGCTGGACAGGGAGGAAGGGCAGGAGCTGGTCCTTCTCTGTGGGCTCCCGCAGGCTGGGGTCAGGATACCCGGGTGGGGAGGAGGGACCTGAGCCCACTGGCCTGGGGACATGGCCGGTCAGCAGCAGGACCTCTGGCCCAAGGAGACACCACAGCAGGCCGGGCGGCAGCAGGTGGGGCGGCAGAGCAGGGACACGCAGGAGGCCGGGCAGCAGCAGCTGGGCTGGCAGGAGGAGGCACAGCAGGAGGAGACGGGCACGCAGCAGGCGGGCCTGCACACGGGGCGGCAGAGCAGGGACACGCAGGAGGAGGGTCTGTAGCAGCAGACGGGCTTGCAGCAGACGGGCACGCAGCAGGACGGCTGGCAGGGGAAGGAGCTGCAGCAGTCAGACTGGCAGCTAGACTGCTGGCAGCAGGAGGAGGAGGCTCCAGAGCAGACGGGCACACAGCAGACGGGCTTGCAGCACACAGGCTTGCAGCAGACGGGCTTGCAGCAGAGGGACACACAGCAGGACTGCTGGCAGGGGGAGGATGAGCAGCAAGAGGGCTCACAGCAGGACTGCTGGCAGGGAGAAGAGGAGCAGCAAGAGGGCTCACAGCTAGACTGTTGGCAGCAGGAGGAGGAAGCCTCAGAGCAGAGGGGCACACAGCACACAGGCTTGCAGCACACAGGCCTGCAGCACACGGGCTTGCAGCAGAGGGACACACAGCAGGAC